TCTTTTCTTTTCTTTCTTCTTTTCTTTCTTTTATCTTTTGCTTGGAAATGCAAAAGAGCAAAAGTGAGGAGTATTTGATGTATGTCATTTTACTCATTATTTCTTGATCTAAGAGCATTTTCTAAGCTAGTTATTTTATTCATAAACCATCCATTTAACATGTTTTCATTAAAAGCATAACATAATTCAGTTTTCCTTAATTTGTTTCATTTTACGTAGTTTTAGCATAATAAATAACATACATGCATACATCCATATTGCATATTTCTTTTTCTTCTTTTGTAGGAGAGGTAATTTGAGATGAGTCAAATTGATATAAAGAAATGTCCAAATTGATGTCGTCAAGCTTCACTCTTCTTGAAAGCCATAGTTTGCTTGTGCAACCCACTTGTTGAATGTTACAAATGAAAATGTTGAATCAAGTCAATTAACTGATGCGGGAATCCAATTTAGCTGAATTAAAGGCCAATAGGAAATTAAGAATTAAATACAAATCAGTGCTAGATCACTCAAAATAGGAAAGAAGAAATTATTTTCTCCAAATCAGTCCTAAAAAATTCTCTTCACAGCAATCAGATTTTGCAATTATTTATTTGAGAAATACTTTATTGTATTGTAATTAATTTTATGCTTAATTTTTATTGCTCAAACCCCTATAAATAGAGGTCTGACGACAACCCATAATCATAATCTCCTAGTCTAGGGTGAGAATTGTTGTTTTTCCTCGTCCCCAGTTTCTTTTCCTACTCTCAGTTCGTAGTTTAGTTTTTTGTTAGGCGAGTTCATCTACTACTACTGCACTTCTGGTTTGTTCTCTTTTATTTAATTTGCAATTTCTATTGAATTTTTCAGTTTATCTTATTCTAGTTATTTTATTTATTCAGTGCTCATTTTAATTTTTGCTCTTTAATTGCTAAAATTTTTATTCCAAGTATTGCATACTTTTCATTTTCAATTCGTCTCGTTTCCAATTCAATTGCAAGTTAGTTTTAGAGTTATCACTTTAAAAAATTTCAAATTTAATTACTACACTATTTTATTTCAAAGCAATTATTGATTCTTAAACTTTTAATTAAAAACACTTTATTTTAATTTTATAAATTTTAGTTATTTAAATTTCGTATCAATTTAATTTTAATTACTGCACTATTTTGTTTTTAAGTAATTTTTTATTCCTGCACTTTTAATTAAAAACACTTTATTTTAATTTATATAAATTTTAGTTATTTAAATTTTGTTTTTGCTTAATTTAAATTGTCGTTAATATTTTATAGCAATTTCATTTTAATTTTTATTATTTTGCATCAATTTATTTCTTTTTCATTCTTTCATTCATCCCCTATTTGTTGTTGTTTACTGTTTTAGAGAGAATGATATGTGATAATGAGTATGTTCCTATAATTGTGTCCTTGTGAGATTCGACACGGGTTAGCTATACTGCATTAGTTTAGTGTTGCATTATTGGCAAGCGTACCAAAATTATCAATCGCAGTATAGTATTTCGATTAAATAAAAATCGATCCCACGAGGAATGTTTCAATGGAAATTCCCAATTATATGCTTACTAAGTAGATTAAAATATAATGGGTTTTGCATAAAGAGTTGAATTGAAATTAAATGACAAAGAACTGTAAATTGTTGAGAAAATATCAATTAAAGGCACTTTGGATTAGCTTCCTTCCTTATCCCTCTTTTGTAATGGCTATGTCAATTAAGAACGTCAATTAACCTAACAATGTTGATGCCACCTACTCAAATCATCCATGTTGATTCCTCACACATGAAATTCATAAGAAAACCTAATAAATGTTGATTCATCAAACAATTAAGAGATTTTCCAGCATTAGGTTTAGGGTGTTAAGCAATTGATACATTCATTCCATTCCTGGCAATTAACATAACAAATATTCTTACAGTGATCTAGGGTTCAAGATATATTTTCCAATCATACCCCAAACATCAAGAATAAATCATTCCAAAGCACAAAGGATAAGAATAAAAACATCAAAACATAGATTAATATCTCAAAATATCACCATGATAGAAAAGAGTTCAAAGGAAGTGCACTGAATACTAAGAGAACGAAGTTAGCCACTCATGTTGGCCATTACAATGCTCCAAATATGGAACAAGTGAAGAATTGATGAAGATTGGACAAAATCCTAGCAGTAGTCACGCATCTTCTCCTCCAAAACCACTTGCTTTTCTCAAAACATATCTTCTTCTTTTATTGGAAAAATTTGGGCTTTTGGGTTTCGCGTCTTTCGCTCGAGCGAGAACTTTCGCTCAAGCGAAAGTAGCCTATTTTCGTTCAAGTGACCAAATGCTCGCTTGAGCGAATGAACTCCAGAGAAGAATAACTAACATTCGCTCAAGCGAATTTTCCTGTGCTTGAGCGGCTGTCTTTCGGAGAAGAATAACTTATATTCGCTTAAGCAAATCTTAAGCGCGAAGAATAACTAACATTCGTTCAAGCGCGAATCCATCCCACTCGAGCGACTTCCATGTTGAAAATCTTCTTCCTTCTTCCAGTTTTACTCTAATTTTGCTGACAATTATACTCCTTACTCTTGTATCAAGGTATTCTTGAATTCATCCTATATTGGGAGAAAAATATATTAGAATTAGTATTAGTTAAGTGGTTTCATAACAATTCAAGATATAATTATATCAACTTTTTACCACTTAACATTTAGTAACTTGTTTATTATTTTTTATCAGTATTTTGTGTGACCAAAATGCTGATATTAATCATTTGTTCAGATTGGTGAATACTGAGGTAACCAACACTCAATCAAAGGTGTAGGAGGAGTTTCCTGATGAAAAACTGATGATGCTACAAGAAAGGTCATGGTTTGCTGACATGGCCAATTTCAAAGTTGCAGGGGTCATACCTAAAGATTTCAATTGGCATCAGAAGAAGAAATTCCTAAGAGATGCACAACAATGTGTGGGATGATCCTCATTTATTCAAAATTGGAGTTGATCAACTGTTAAGAAGGTGTGTGTCTAATGAAGAAGCAACAAGTATTTTGTTGCATTGTCACAGCTCCCCTTATGGTGGGCATTTTAATGGAGAGAGGACAACTGCAAAGGTCTTCCAATTTGTTTTTTATTGGCCTACCTTATTCAAAGACACACACAAATATGTTCAACAATGCAATAATTGTAAAAGGATAGGGGGGATCTCAAAAAGACATAAAATTCCTCTGAATATTATTTTGGAAGTTGAAGCTTTTGATTGTTGGGGAATTGATTTTGTAAGACCACTACCATCTTCTTTCTCCAATGAATATATTTTGGTAGCAATTGATTATGTGACGAAATGGGTTGAAGTAGTGGCAACTTCTAAGGCTGATGCTAAAACGGTCATCAAATTTCTCAAAAGAAATAATTTATGCAGGTTTGGTACCCCAAGAGTGTTGATTAGTGATGGAGGTTCACAATTTTGCAATGCTCAACTTCTGAAATGTTTAGAGCATTATGGAGTTCGGCATAAAATTGCATCACCTTATCATCCACAGACCAATGGACAAGCAGAGGTGTCAAATAGGGAAATCAAGTGTATTCTAGAGAAAACAGTGGCATCTTCAAGAAAGGATTGGTCAATGAAGTTGGATGACGCACTATGGACATATAAAACTACTTATAAATCCCTATGGGCCTATCCCCATTTCAGCTGATGTATGATAAGTCATGTCACTTACCGGTCTATTTGGAGCACAAGGCATTCTAGGCCTTGAAATTTTTGAATTTTGACTCAAAAGCAGCAGGAGAGAAAAGATTACAACTGCAAGAATTGGAAGAAATGAGACTTAGTGCTTATGAGTTCTTTAAGCTCTACAAGGAAAAGATGAAAGTGTATCATGATAAGAAAATTCTCAAGAAAGAATTTTATCCAGGCCAATCAGTGTTACTATTCAATTCCAGGCTAAGGCTATTTCCTGGAAAACTCAAATCAAAATGGTCAGGACTGTTTCTTGTCAAGGTTGTTAAACCTTATGGAGCTATTGAGTTAGAGGATCCTAAATCAAAAAGAAGTTGGGTTATAAATGGTCAAAGATTGAAGCCCTACTTTGCTGGTGAGGTTGATAAACTTGCCACAATCATCCAATTGGATGAACCATAATGATACAGGCGTCTGACTCGTGACGTTAAACAAGCGCTTCCTGGGAGGCAACCCAACATTTTAATTATGTTTTTGAATTTTAGTTTTACCTTGTGTGTGTTAAATGTTTTTGTAAATATATTTTGTGTTTGTGTGCAAAAGGGTGAGTTTTAGCATTTAAGTGTCTCAATAGAGCAAACCATGCATGCTTAGGAATTTTCAATCAAAATTTATTTTTTAAGCATGAGAATAAGTTTTGGTGCCAAAATTGAGTTCATTGAATGTTAAAAATTGCCTTGTTTTGCTCAAATTGTGAAATTTGAGTTTGAGAGCTTGAATTTGAGTTTGAGACCTTAATTTTGAGTTTAATGATGTGAAACGTTTTGGAATGACAGAGAATTAGTTGAGGAATAACTTGATATATGCTTTGGGTTAATTGGACTAAATTCAACATGATTTGAATGAGTGGAAGTTGAACATATTTTTGAAAAGTGACAAAAATTTTGTTTATGAGAAACTACATAAAACGAAATGACCAATTTTACTGATATTTTCGCTTAAGCTAAAGCTTTTTTGCCTGGGCAAAACTGTCCTGCACCAAATGTTAACCACTGGAGCTTTTTCGCTTAAGCGAGACTAGGTTTTCCTAGGCGAAAGTTATTCAAAAAAAATCCACGTGAATATCACTTAAGCGAGACATGTTGCGCTTAAGCGAGACCACGCGACCCCAAAATTAATATTTGAAACAGGGAAAACGTTTTCACACTCATTTTCTCTCCGAAACACTGAAGCACAGTACAATTTTCCTCAAATTTTACGACCTGTTATTCCTCACCCAATTCTCTCCATTAACTCATCAATCTCTTCCTCCCTTAGCCTTTTTCCTTTTAAGTGGCCTAGGGACAGTCCAATTTTTCCAGAGGGGAGTGGACCTAACAATAGTTGTTTTGCAGTTGGATTCACAATAGGTGAAGAACCGTCAAGAGCTACAGAAAGAGATGACCTTGCTACTTGGGAAGAAACAGTTGGAGAAGACCTTCAGGAAGAGGAGTTTCAGACTGATTTTGAAAAAGTGATGAGGGGAGATTGATACACATCACCATTCCACCCTCCAGAACTCTATGAAATACAATTTTATTTTTTTGTGTTTAAAGTACTGTACAACTTTTTTATTTAGTAATATTCTGCTTTAGTTGTTTCTGTTAGAATGTTGCTACCTTATCTAATTAGTTAGAATTAACTATTTAACTTTACTTTTTTCTTAATATTTTGCACATAATACATAGATAGCAAATTTTTTTGGGAATCATTAGAAAATCTTTCTTGAGGAAATTGGTTAAAGAGAAATCAAGTTTCAGTAAGTGTCCTATATTAGAACAACTGAGTAAACTTAGCACAGAGGAGAAAGAGGAAAATTTTGGTTGAACTCATAATTAAATGGGATTAGGATACTAGTGTTGGATAATTGGTCAGATAATCAATTGTAATAACAAGTGATATGCCAAGGAAAGAAACCAGAAAACCCAGTGAGTGTATGAATCCATAAACAGCTTGAGAGTTTCCACTGTTTGTTGTCAAGTTAATACTGCTTGAGTTTTCATTCAGATAACATTACACTAGAAGAATGGAAATGATTAAGGTAATTTTGCTTAATGTAAATAACTCAGTGCCAAACAACCAACCTAGAAATAATCATCCTTTTGTGATAGCCCATTTGAGCCTAATTGTTTTGAATTATGCACCCTAACCCTAACTTTAATTATTATCCGTTTCCTTTGCACACTTAGGGATAGAGAGCATAGGTGCATTTTGTTCAACTGTAAAATGGGAATTGGTTGGTGGAATTGTACTGAGGAAAGAAAGGGGCTAAGTATTTTGTACTATAATTCACTCCTTAGTATTATATAGAAATGTAAATACTAGAAAGTATTCAAAAAAAAAAAAAAAAGAGAGGAGGGAATGAATTATGAATGAAAAAGAAAGAACATTGTGTTTGAGGTATGAGGTGTGATGAATTGAGAGTAGAAATGGAAGTGGGTCTAAATTGTGGTTGTCGCCGTTGTCCCCTCCGCGAAGGGGGAAACTAAAAATGCAAGCGGTCGCAACGCGATGGTTTTGTCACTCACATTTTCGTAAAGTAAATGGTCATCACTTTTAGGATGCTCATTAACCGAACTATCCTTAAAAATGAGGTTTCGTAAAAGGGTTCTAAGGAGTCGTCATCAATGTTTTAACCTTAAAAATTGAAAAAGGAAAAGAAGGTGTTGGTTTTAAGAAAACCAACTTTGGCCGTTATAACCAGAGTTGGGTAAGGGAGTTAGTTACGCGTGGGGAAGGTGTTAGCACCCCACAACACCCCTTTAGGGTTCCCTATGACGAATTAATTCAGAAAATAAAGATTCTAGAAATTATGCCTTTACCCTATTACTTGCAGTATTTAAATATCTACATGGCTCTAATCTCTAATGCACATAAAGGAAAGCAATAAAAGGAAAGCGATAAAAGAGAAGGAAATGAGAAGAACCTCCGAAGTGAGCTTTTTATAAATCTTCGAACTTGACGATGCTTTTTGGTAGTCCCCTCCAACTACAAGAGCACTCCTCCCTTGAACAATAAAATTCTTAAACTCTCGAGAGTTGGATGTCTCAAAAGGAGGCTTCCTTAACCGATTTTGCCCAAATAGACTATTGAAAAGACTACTCGGACCTCTGGAACAGTGCAAAAAGGCCCAGAAGTGTCTCCAAATATAAGGGAGTGTGAGAAAGTGTGTGGAAATGGGAGAAATGACGTCCTATTTATAGGCTCGCTCACCCAGGAGGCCAGAACGGTCGTCCCGTATTTTGTCAGTCGAGATGGTCATTTGGGAATTTGGGACAACCCTCCCAAGCTACCAAAGAGGGTGGGACAACCGTCTAGAATTTGGGACGACCATCCCAGACCACTAAGGAAGGTGAGATGATTGTCCCAAATTCGGGACAACCATCTCGAGCAAGCCAAACAGGTGGGATGACTGTCTCGAATTTGGGACGGTCGTCCCGAATTCTCTGACAAAATTTCTAATTTTTATTTTCTAAGAAAACCCTCTTTTTCTTAAATGGATCCTAGCTAACACTACTAGGGGCCCTATGCAGCCTTGTCCATCTTCAAAATGGAGGATTTCTTAACTTGTTGAATGGTCGGGCAAGATTTGGGGTCTACAGCTACCCCCCCTTCACCCGACTAATTGGCTATTGGCGAATGTGCCATAAGACCAGTTGGCGGGTGAAGGAGTTAACCCTCCTCCCAGGTCGTCCTTCGGATGCTCCTTTGGCGCTTAGATAACCCTCTGGATGATGAATGTGAATGTCTTCTAGTCTTTGAGCTTGACCATAGGGTGTTCCCTTCGACCCTATTGTGATGAGTATGAACCCCCACCTGGTTTGAGCCCCCTTTTGTAAGACTCGATGAGTACAAACTCCCATCTGGTTTGAAGTCCCCTTTTGTAAGACTTGATGAGTACGAATTGCCATCTGGTTTGAAGTCCCCTTTTGTAAGACTTGATGAGTACGAACCTCCATTTGGTTTGAAGTCCCCTTTTGTAAGACTTGATGAGTACGAAGCCCCATCTAGTTTAAAGTCCCCTTTTGTACGACTTGATGAGTACGAACTCCTATCTGGTTTGAAGTCCCCTTTTGTAAGACTTTGATGAGTACGAACCTCCATCTGGTTTGAAATCACCTTTTGTAAGACTTGATGAGTATCAACCCCCATCTGGTTTGAAGTCCTTTCCCTGGATTGAACTATGTGGTAGCGGCTTACTGATCTTGGTCATGCGTTGACTCCATGGGGAGTAGTTCTTGCTTGAGAATATTTTTTCCTTTTTTGTGTAGTCATTCGATGTGCTAGGGATTCTTGATTCTCTGGGCTTTTATAATAGCCATCCAGCTTGTTGATTGCCAAGGATTCTTTGGTTTTTAGGCTTTTCTAATAGCCATCCAGCTTGTTGATTGCTGGGGATTTTTGGTAAATGCCTCTTAGGTAAGCAGGAATCCACTGGGGATTTGTTGATTCTGATGATGATGCCTCTGAGTAGGCGGATGCTTCATCGAAAGTGAAGACTTTTGGTTGCATTTCTTTGCCTCTGAATAGGCTGATGTTCCCTTTGGGGATGTTGACTCTTTGCTCCCCAGGTCTTGCCTATGCATAGGCAAACGACTCTCTAAAGGTGTGAGTCTGAAGATTGCCTATGCTTATTTTTCTTTCTTTTGTATGGCCCACTTCGGGATTTATTGGCCTTCCATTGTCATGGCCTTTTTCTTTTTAGTCATCCGCTGGGGATAAGGGATTTTATTTTCTTTGAACCCTTTATTCTCTGTTGGGGAATGTGGTGGAGATTTGGTTGAGTATTGATGACTCATGTAGCGACTGAAAGTGATGAAGATCTTATTGAATCATTTGATTAAACAAAGATCTTGTTGATTTGATGAAGTCAAAATGAAGTCAAAGGCTATTCTGGAGTAGTCAAAGGTTACTTAGATAAAAGAGTAGAGTGGTTAGTGAGTCTGCATCTATACTTAGGTATAATCATTCTTATCTCTCTGTTGCATGAGGTTTCTTCATTTAAAAGATTTTGCAAATGCCTCTAAAACATGCTTAAACTGTTAAAAACAAAGTAATTTGTTAAATGGTTTTTAAGTAAACAGTTTTAACTGATATTATATGAGCTTTATCAGTTAAAATGTTCTTAACACTTTCATAACAGGTTTTTAACTGATAGGTTTTCGAAATAATCAATTAAAACCTTTTAAAACATACAGTGGAACTGTTTTAATTGATATATCTTTGAATTAATCAATTGTTTTCATTAAAAGAATTTTTGAAAACCTTCTGCCAGTATTTTAACTGATGTAGAATCGAAATAATCGATTAAAATGACTTAAGATGTTTTGAAAAGTGTTCTGGCAGAATTTTAATCGATACAAACTTGAAATAATCGATTAAAATAACTTGAAGTGTTTGAAAGATGTTCTGTCAGTATTTTAATCGATGCAAATGTGAATTAATCGATTAAAACAACTAAGAGATTTTTTCCAGAGTGTTTTAATCGATTAAAACAAGTTTGTTATCAGTTAAAATGACTTAGAAAGTTTTATGAAACTTTTTGGCAGAATTTTAATCGATTAAAATGCGAAATAATCGATTAAAACAACTAAGAGATTTTTTCCAAAGTGTTTTAATCGATTAAAACAGATTGTTATCAGTTAAAATCACTTAGAAAGTTTTATGAAAACATTTTGCAGTATTTTAATCGATTAAAAGGCGAAATAATTGATTAAAACAATTTAAAAGATTTTTTACAAAGTGTTTTAATTGATATAAACTTTGTCGTATCAGTTAAAAGAAATCTGAAAAATGATCAAGAACATTTTAACAGATTAAAAGAAGTTTTACCAGATTAATTCAAGACTTTTAACAGATTAAAAGATTGTTTTAACAAATTAATTAAACCAGCAGTTTGAAAAATCTTCTACATAAAAAGGATTGCTTGAGTCTTTTAAAATATACCTTTAAGCAATCAATCAAGCAATTATAAGTGCTACTTTCAAGAAAGAATCACGCAAGTTTTGTGAAGTTTTTCGAAGTTCTTTCTTGAGGCAAATTTTGCATTCTTTTTGTGAAGAAACTCATTCTGCAAAGCAGCATAAACCGGGTTTGAATGTTCTAGTTTCTTCTCTTTGTTCTTTTATATTTCATTACTGTATTGTGAGTGTATGGAAGTGTGGACACTGGTTTCTGTGGCCGGAATTTGGCTGCAGGGTGGTTCAAGAACTGGAAGTTGGTTCTTGGTGAAGGTTTAGGTGCAAGAACTGGAATTTGGTTCTTGTGGTAAGATTGGTGTCTGGAATTATTGGGCACTGGTTTTGTAGCTGGAATTTGGCTACAGGGTGGTTCAAGAACTGGAAGTTGGTTCTTGGTGAAGGTTTAGGTGTAAGGACTGGAATTTTGGTTCTTGTGGTAGATTGAGTGTTTGATTGGAATAGTAATCTGTAAAACATTCAATCTAGTGGAACTCAGCTGGAATTTGGCTGGGAA